TTACATGCTGTGGTTTTAGTTTTAGTTTTTTTTTGGTTTTAGCTTTGTTTCTCAGATAGAGCAAACAAATTCTCTCTCTATGTGTGTATACATGCACACTTTTAAAACGCACCATATTTTATCGAGAAGTTGGGTACAAAGTACATAACATCATAGTCTTAACCAACCAAAACAACTTAAAGATCAAATGCATAATTAACAGCCACTGTTAAAATCAATATCGACAGAACATAAAACAATCCTGTGATGAAATCTACAGTGCGGGATCTCCCTTCTCCTGAGTGATTGATTTTGGCAACAATGACAAATAATAAAAGCTAACAGATACCTGGGATCTGGGAAAAGCAGAGGTATAAAAAGCTGCTACGAATGCTTTCTGGCTCAAGCTGCATTTTGAAGCAGCATCACTGTGCGTGGGGAAGGGCTGAAAACAATACAGCCCACATGCTCTGATTGTGGAGACCTGTACCTGAGGAGCTACTGTCGATCTTCTTTAATGTAGTCACAATTCTTAACGTTAACAAACAATGTAGAATTTGGAGAAGGGTACGAGGCCAGCAGTGGGACAATTTACTCACGATTATTTTGATTTTTCACTCAGAACTGTGCTGAGAAGTGAAAGCAGCCACTGGGGGGCCTCTCTCATGGGCGCCTAAGGAGACAGGTACTTTCGCTCCCATGGGGATATCTGGACCGACTTTGGAGTCAGGGCTGGGGATTGTGTTTATTGAACGGGGGTGTGTGATATGAGGATAAGGAAAGTCCTACTGGGTCCGGTAGAAGGGTTTCTACCACCACGGCCCATGACAGGTGATGGTGATGACTGAAGTGTAAATATCCCTGTCCTCATCCAGACATTTTGTGCAAGGAGATGATATCCGGGGTCTAAATCTATAGTACATCTGGGATAGTGTGCAATCCTCTAGTCACCCTGGTGATGTTCCTCTATTTCCCCTATGGAGAAACCCCACAGATGTGCTATCATCTGGGCATATCTGGTTAACACCATAATGCCTGGAAACAGGAAAGGCAGGCTTTGGGCAGAAATCCAGCTCAGCTTTTAAAGCAACTCCTCTGTACTTGGGATGAAGGACTTGTGTATGAGAAGAAATAATTGCAAGAAGTCTCGAATATATTGAACTTGAGAGGGAGAGGCCATGGGATCAATCTTCTCTGCAGGTCCCTGCTGCCCCCTCCACAATGCCTCCTGCTGCCCTGACATGGTAGCGTTTTGTTGCTGATTGGCTGCACCCCAGCTGCCAGAGAAGCCACTGAATTATTTAGGTATGTTTTAGAGGGGACGGGGCTAAAATGTATGATTCTAATGTGCAAAGATCTAAAGAACACCTGAAGGCTGTGGTTTTCCAGGACCATGATGAAATGAGTACCTGCAATGGTGATTACGGTAGAGGGAATCGGACGTTCTCTAGCGTGAACCTTCCTGAAGACAGGGTGGCCTAGCAAAAGGACAGGCAGAGAATCAACAGAATGGATCACATTGGTTTGCTGTCAGAACTCTGTGGAATTAATAAGGTGAACATCACACCCAGATGCACACATCACAAGCAATGTTAGTTTGGGGGTGAGTGGTCGTAGGTCACCCCTATGTAGGTCACAGGAGGGAGCTTTGGTGAAGGTTAATGATGGAGGTAACTGCCCATAGACAAGTGTTCCATGAGCCAAACCAGATTATGTTAATGAACCACATGCCCCATGGCAGGAGGAGCAGTCCAATTCCTGCAAGCATCTGAAAATGGAGTATCCAGGTCCTTCAAGTTATTGCTTCTAGAGGCATCATGGAACAGCAGAAAGCACTTGGTATAATGACATGTGTCCTGCTTTTGAAGATTGTTAATACCAACAATATAGCCTTGAGTGGGCCATTTCTCCAGTTTTCCTACATATAAAATGGGGAAAATAGTTCTGGCTCTGTGTACATCACAGGTATGTTTGAGAGTCAAGTAACATGACATTTGGAAACATGCTTATTGCATTTATTTCCTAGGCAGTCTCAATGAGGGAATGTTATATACACCTGCAGGCTTTGCATAGGAATGCCATGTTCACAGCAGTTCTTAGGCTTAAGCAGGCCTAAGGTTTTCACTGAACTCCTGATTCACTTGACTTCCAGACCCACCTACTATTTGTTTCTACCAAGAGTTACCCAGAACTGACCTGGGAATCATGACACTTGGGAATCAGTGTGAACTCTACCATATGCTTGCCATCCAAACTTGGGCAAGGCATCTTTCCTCTTTGAGACTGTTTTCTCAATTGTAAAATGAAGCTGAACTTGAAGGGGCTTTGTTCTTCTAATCTATGTACCAGAGTGATAACAATGTTTTTGACTTCAGAATTTTCATGGTTTGATTTCTTTAAAAAGCCAGGTGCCTTATTAAGTCTATCACATGATGAGCATAATATGACTGGAGGAGTAATATTAAAGAGGTATATTGACTGCCATGTAATTTCAATTAAATACGGATCTCTACAGTTGCATGTCCTGGAAATTTGGGGGATCAAATATACTTCTTCCTCTCCTAATTGAGCCAGAATACTTAATTTATTAAAAATATTCATATGTACANTACTTCTTCCTCTCCTAATTGAGCCAGAATACTTAATTTATTAAAAATATTCATATGTACATGCTCCAGTTTCCCCCTTTTGGGGTCCCTCTCATTTTTCATTTGACTGGAATTCATAGCCATGTCATTTATGAGACATAGCTGGGCTTTGGATTGAAAGGGATTCAATGAGTAATTTCAAATGAGATAGGAATGAAGAGGTTGGGAGGGATGAAAGAGAACAGTCCTGGGATTAAAACAGTCATCCTGGCCTTGGGCTTAAAGTCAGAAGGCCTGGCTCTAAGTCCTAGGTGGGTAATTTGTGGTAAACCGATTAATCTCTTTGAACCTTCATTTCCTCTTCTGGAAGAGCAATAAAACCTTACTCCATAGAGGTTGGGAGGGATGAAAGAGAACAGTCCTGGGATTAAAACAGTCATCCTGGCCTTGGGCTGAAAGTCAGAAGGCCTGGCTCTGAGTCCTAGGTGGGTAATTTGTGGTAAACCGATTAATCTCTTTGAACCTTCATTTCCTCTTCTGGAAGAGCAATAAAACCTTACTCCATAGGTTGGTGATAAAATAATATAAAGAATAGCAAATGCTTTACAAACTCTAAAGAGCTATAATGTATTTGGTGTTATCATGTCACATGACCAGAAAGTCAAAGGGGAATGAGACCATCGATTCAAACAAGGGCCTTTCAATGAAGCAAGGTCAGGAACAACAGGTAAAGATTTGCGAATTCCAAAAGTACCTCCAACACTTCCAGTCCACTACTAATGAGATCTCTGAGATACTGGAATTATGCAGTGGACCAAAAGACTTTTTCAATTTCCATATATCTTGCTTCAAATTTAGATTTTCACACTCAGCTGCACAAGTCCATGAAAGACCTGCAGGCAAAGTCCAAGGGCTAGATTAATTCTTCTGTACTGCACCTGCATTTCTAAGCCTTGACTTCAAAGCCTCAAACTGACTTCAAAGAAAAGCTCTTTAGGGCTTAAAGCTGCTTTTCACTGTATAGACCTAAGTTTTAGAACTTTCCTCAGGGGCATCCTGGGCATTCTGGACTGATTCAGGAGAACGGTAAAGTGAGACAGTGCGTAGGAGAGTAGGAATGGACGGGCTAGTGTAGAAATTCCCAGAAGGTTCTAGAATATTCCCTTGTTCTAACTGCATCAATTTCAAGTCTTGGGAAGAGGTGGTAACATTAGAAAAACTTCTAATTAAAACTTCAGATTAAAGTTTTAGCTATAAGAAAGAACTTAATGGACTACATTAAATTATAGAAAACTTTGGAGGAAGTGATTCTGTCATCTTTAATGCAAGATGTGGCCAAGGCAGGAAATGTTGGACGTTACTGGACAGATATTATAGAACTACCTGAAATGAAGAATTTTTAGCAAAGAACACCAGGATCCCATTACCTGAGATACTAGAAGGAAAGACGGTCTGAATGACATGAAAGGAAATCCCTAAAAACAAAATCTGACCTATTTAATAATAAGAAATTAGGAAGATATACAAACACATTAATGCATTTTAGCAAGTCATTCTATAGCCAAAGATTTTTAGTTAAGGTCTCATTATCAGGCTGTGCAGGACTGACAGTGCTGCCAGATAGTACACTATTTCTACAATGGTTGACTTAAAAAAAATTACTTCAGTGAAGTCATGAAGGCTGGCTTGCTAAATCTCTACCTTCCTCAAATCTCTCAAGGATAACTAATTTATCATTTAGTGACAGAATCAGAATGCAAGGTGTCTTCAAAAAGTTTCATGGAAAAATTCATATTATCTTTTAGTTCTATTTTTCCACAAACTTTTTGAAGGAGCCTCATATTTCTGAGAAGACTTCCATGAGTTAGAATGATGGGATGAGAAAAAAAAGATAAAAGTATTAAAAGGTAAGTGTAAATTCCTGTACTTGGGTTCAAAAATAACCTTCAGGGGTACAAAATTGGGGAGCTCTGACCTGGAAGAGCTTCAGATGAAGCAGATTGAAGAAATCCTATGCAAGGACTTGTCCTGTTTAACATTTTTAGCCTTTTCAATTTCTGTGTCTCCGGGAGTCTATGAATCATTTTGTCATTAAATGCCACGTCTAGAGAGAAGCAGTGAAGAGCAACAGCCCATGTGAAATTGTCCACATTTAGAAAGTTCCACTTTGGACAACATCACGTTGGAACTACTTATTCATATGTTCGTACTAACTGTGGTTTAAGTTAACTCCATCTCTTGCCATAGAATTTTCATTATTAAAGAAGTTTGGAGATATTTCCTTCTAAATATTTTTGTTCGGCTCTCTGATTTCAAAATTTTGATATCTGTACAACATATTGGAAATTTTTGATATTTGTCCAATATATTAGAAAATGCCATGTAGGATATAGGACATAGGCCAGTTGAGACATCCTCAACCTGCAGCTTCATACAAATCAGAACTACTATTTGATATTTATCTCCCTCTCTAAATCTGCACACATGACTCTGAAAGGGTGAGAAGACATTTAGGGTCAAAAGAGGATGCTGTAAGGAAATATCTTCCATTTGTACACAAGAAAATAGCTTTAGTTGTGCTAAATAATGCAATCAACACAGGCTGAGTCCCATGCTGAATTTAAGGCTTTTAAACTTTTTGATTGCATTTTGAATTTTTATAGAGTACTTTGTAATTCACTTCCAGTGGCAGAAATATTACTCACTACCATGTTATTAATACTAAAAGCTATGTTTCCAAAGAGGGGCTCAGGTTGCCTGGTGGGGTGAAGGCAAGGAACTGCTCTATCCTCTCCCAACGTGGCATTATCTGTTATTAGGAGCCTGAGATTGGGCCAGGGAGCAGCCTTGGATGTCAGCTCCTATGTTTCCTTGAGGCCAGCAATTGCGTCATTTACTTGGTACTGTTTGGAACATCTATCAAGGTACACTGCACTTCATCAGTGCTATGTGAACATGTGTAAATTGATGAGTGTCAAAATGTGAACAATTATAGATTCTCCATATGAATTTGCTTACAACTAAACAGAACACACACACGTTGTTAATCTGTATAATGTTAAATGTATAAAATCAGCAAGAGCACACCAGGTGTTAAATGATAATGAAGATTACATAAAATGTGGGTTTGGTTTGATTTTTAAGGGTATTTGGGGATAAATAAAGAACATTTAAAAAAATTGTCTTACCGTACAGGTATTTTCCTTCATTAAAAGCAAACAAAAATGAGAAATGATTTTTTTTAATGTAATAACATATGGGGAGAACAGGCAGTAAAAATAAAATTAGAGAGCATCAGACTTTAAAAATTCATACCTGTTATTGTGAAGCCACCTAAAAAAGAAAAAAATAAATAAATGTTACAATTTAACTTACACTCTAACAAATACCAGTGATATCAGATTGCCTGACAACCCACCCAACGTACGAAAACTTGCCAAATTATATTTACAATTAAGAAGAATATGAAAACATCCATCATGAATGAATCACAAATCATTCTTTTAAGATTATGGGAATTTGTGCACAAACCCAATTCTTGTGCATACCTAAGACATGACTGATTTTTAAAAGGTTATATACTAAATTAAAAATGTAATATAAACTATTTGACCTTAACAAAAACGAGGCCAATGGCCCTAAACAACAATCTTGCTAACAAATCAATAAAGATAAAAATCAGAGAGCTACTATATCACCTGACAGAAATGGGAAATAACCTAGAAAAATGGAAAGGAAATGCAAGAAATGAAGTGCTTACCAAGCTCATTCAATAACAGGGCTGTGAAGGAAACAGACAAAGACAAACACAGAATAAGAGACCAAATGAATAATGAAAGTAAGAGGAATATCAGCAGAAAGAAATCCAGGCAGATCTGATTAGAGTGGTAGGGAACCACTGCTAAAAAAATTAGTGCACCCCAAGGAATTGTGGCGTTGGGAATATTTCCAAATAAACAATCCCAACAGAAATTTCTGCAAATGTGTGTGATTGAATATATACATATTTCATCTTACATTAGGAGGGGTCTTCAAAAAGTTCATAGAAAATTTGTATTATCTTCTAATTCTATTTCTCCATGAACTTTTTGAAATACCTTCATATATCATTTTTCTAAGTTTAATAAGACATTTCTACTATAAATGTATCTAGTTTACCAAATATAGTAGAAACATTGTATGAAGTTAATCCTTGATTTTAGTAAACCCGCCTCCTTAAATATTGCCTGGGAGTTAATCAATCCAACATACCAGGATCTCAGATATTTTATCTTTATCCAATGAGAACAGATAAAACATCCAAGGAAATTCCATTTTGGCTACCTGTCTGGAAGGGGACTTTGGCCTAAGGTAAAACTCTCTCTCTGAATGTTCTATTTGGATGATATCTTGGCCAGCAAGAATTGCTTATGTTTTTTAAATCCTTAAAACTTAAGAGCCCTAGGAATGAAAGCTTATTTGTATGTCCTCAAGTGTGAATTTTGTACGTTATTAGATGACCAGAATGCTTCTAATGTACATATAACCCCATGGAAACTGAGAGGGCCAGGAGGGCTGGGGGAACTTAAACAATTTGTCTTTTGGGTTATGTGTTTTAAACCTAGATTACAGTAGCACTTTATTTTAGTAAAAGCTATCTGGCTAAATGTATCAAAGAAATTACTTCCTGAATTTTAGATGGAAATGATACAATTACTTTTTAAGGCCCACTTCTTCCTCTAATGGTAGT